AAAAATACAGCAAGTTCTGAGTGCCGAACAATAGTGCGGGCTCCCTATATAGGCACATAACTCCTCTCATATTAAGCTCCACCCGCACATTCTCTTGACCAATCATTACAAATAAGAATTAACTTCCTGCTTGACCGCATGGCTTGTCCAGCACAATGGAGGAGGGGAATACTACATCCTGTATTCCTGCACATGCTCCGCACACTACTGATCGTATCTTGCCTCGTGCAACCAACTGATCGATACGTCAGCATATGCACGTACACATGCCACGTGGTAATCTCGGCCTACTAAATTTATTTTTACCGAGATTCCACCACATTCCCCCCTTTGATGCCTCTTGATATTTTACAATTACTTGAGGTATCACTTAACCTTGGTTTGCATACACCACAAGTTACCTTTGAACCAGACCAGACTTATCCTATGATGTGAATCTTCAACACTCGTCTTCCTGCATTGGTTCTCCCTGATCTAGAGCCTTATATTTATAAATTGCCATTATCTGTGCAGCAGCCTTCCTCTCTGCTATATTTTCTATCAGGCTTTGCATAGACCTAACTACTAAGGGTATAAGACACGGCAGGAGTAGACACAACATTAAAATCAGTAGGACTCCACCTACCACTGCCTTAAGCCCTCCAAACCACTCATACCAGCTACCAAACCAACTACTTGGATTGTACCCCTTCCATACCTGAGTAGGCACATGCGCTAGTTTAACCATATGGCTAGTAAGCTCAGCTATTGCTTGCCCTTCGTCATCTATTTGAAGACAGCAATTGCTCAGGTTAAACTTCCCACATACACCTCCCTCTACTGCCAAAAGATAACCCAAGGCTAATCTATTTTGGTAAACTGCTGTCCTCATCCTGGTATTATGCTTCGCTAGAAGATTGAGCGCTTGTGATGTCTCGTTAGTAATGATCTCAACCACCACCTGTAACCTTATAATGCGGTTGAGCATATAAATAGGGGTTCTATAACCAAAGGTACCATCCTCTGCCCACGTGGCTGGCCCATAATAATCTATAATACGCTGGGGAAGCCATTCATTATCTTCCCAGGCACCTATCTCTATGGGTCCCCTTTTCTTCCTATGATTCACATCATACACTTTAACACCTAAAGTCTCACCTGTTTCAATAGGCAACAAGAAGAAGGATGGTTTTAACATACCTAACACACATGCCCCTTCCCAGTCCTGTGGTAACTCCGAATAGGCCTTCTTACCACAGATCCAGTACAAATTCGCTGGGGCTCTCCAGTTAGATGTGATGGATAGATCAAACCATACGTCCTTTAAATTGGTATATCTTGCAAACGGGTTAGATGGTTCTGAGACATTTGAAGCCGACCACCAAGTTGTATTCTTTGTATCATCATCATAAGCTTTTTGCCCTAGACAAGTTAATTCTCCTACAGAAGTATTATACATCATTCCTTTCCTCGCTATGAAAACATAACCTATGATGGAGGTCTTCAATCTCCACTCAGATTTACCTCTAACACTCATATGATAGTCGGCTTGTGTAGATATTAATTGGTCAACTGCCCCAGAACCGGACATTACCTCCTTTGCTTCCCAAGGCCATTGGTCTCCCATGTTAGTACCTCCACACACATAGCAGTTGGTAACATTAAGACTACCGGCAATACTCTCGGCTAAACCAATGAACAAGTTTTTAGCATTATGGGGGATCTTATTATCTATGCTCATCTCTTCATAAAAGGAATGGTATACTTGATGAGTTTGGGAGGTTACCGTATCAGTCTCTATCCCTATAAACAATATTGTCCCAGGGTCTAAACCCGCCCCATATATTTGAAACCCAAATAAATTACCATATTTATCTAAGAACTTGTCAGGGTTATTTATAAGTATATGGATTGGATTGCATTCCATAGACTTACAATATGGATTAGTAGGCAACTTAGTCACAATCATGTCCTTGTCTGCTGTCTGTCCTCAAGTCGCCCACCCCACACAAGACCAATATGGGCAGAAGTTATAATCTCTATTTGGGCATCTTGGACTTACATATTTATTTTTACTACTGGGACAAATATATTTATCGTTAGACCCATACGTCCTCTCCCATCTAAGATCCCCACATACATTCCACGGCTTTCTACCACTTGATATTGTTTTACACGCATCAAATAGCAGAGCACCTGAAGAATATACGGATTTTAATACCGTCTTATTAATTAGGGTCCCCTGAGAATCTCCATTTCTGAGAGTCAACCAAATTGTACGGGGTTGATACTCAGGACTGAAGCACTTAGGTTCTCCTACTCCTAAATGACACACTCTATATTCTATATTTAAGTATCTACATCTTGATACATCTCCTTTACACTCATATTGCGAATGCCAAATTAGGGTCTGGGATATATGGTTACCTGTTCTTGTAGTCTTAATGCATACCTCACAGCTAGGAGTGTTTGTACCTCTACCTTCCTGAATATAAAAATACACATAAATAAACATTATTAAAAATACATCTTTCGTCGTCATCCTCAGTCTTCGTCCGTGTGAAGGCACCTCAGCTTCCAGGATGTAAGGACTGCAGGAAATGGAGTTCTGCTCGTCTTCACAGGGGTCCCCTCAAGACTTTCCCTGACTTATACACTCGTTGGTGAGTGGACAGGCTTTATTATGGCCTTCTCACTCACTTACCAAGTCTCTGAAACAATAAAATTTGTAATCTACAAGGTTCCTCGTCACTCCGACTGAGTCGTGCGTTTTAACCGGATCTTGCAGTGATTCTCTGGATTTGCTGTAACTTGCCAGGAATCGGCTGCTGCTGGTTTAACCCTGGAGTGATGTATCCACGGAGCCACTTCGGCTACTTTTATCGCTGTAGGGGTAGACAGAAGAACAACATAAGGACCTCTCCACTTGGGCCCTAACGGCACATTATTCCACTCTTTAATCCACACTTGGTCGCCTGGGTGGTAACTATGAATTGGGGGATAAATATTCACAGGTAATCTATCTTGTACCCATTTATGCACCTCCTCCATAGTCTTACCCAACTCTACAACCTGCTGCCGGGTAATTCCTTCTCCCAACTGACTCAAATCCCCCCTTAAGTTACCAAGCACGGGAGGTGGTCGCCCGTACATGATTTCAAAAGGAGAGAGGCCCATCCTTCTGGTAGGTGTACTACGGATCCGCAATAGAGCTATGGGCAAGAGAACGTTCCACTTAAGTTGGGTTTCCTGACACATTTTAGCCAACTGATTCTTAATAGTTCTATTCATTCTCTCTACCTTACCAGAACTCTGGGGTCTATATGCCGTATGAAGCCTCCACTTTATACCAAGTATATGAGTCAATTGTTGTAGGCACTGATGAACAAAAGCTGGACCATTGTCCGATCCTATAGAGCAGGGTAGTCCATATCGGGGTATTATTTCTCGTAGCAGGAATCTCACCACTTCTCCTGCTTTCTCTGTACGAGTAGGACATGCTTCTACCCAGCCTGAATAGGTGCACACCACTACCAGCAGGTAGCGATGTCCACCCGATTTAGGTATCACTGTATAGTCAATTTGTAAATCGGACATGGGAAGTCCCCCCATAAACTGGACTCCTGGTGGCTTTACTGGTCCTTGTCTTGCATTATTTTTAGCACACGCTACACATCTACGTACAATGGCCTGAGTCAAGTTGGACAATCTTGGTATGTAGAAATGTTTTCTGAGAGATTCTTCTGTACTGTCTCTCCCAGAATGTGTCCCTTTATGATAGTTTTGGACAATTTCTACCGCTAGTGATGCTGGAATAACTATTCTTCCATCTTCTAACTGATACCATTTGTTCTCCAAATACTTTCCAGGTTCAGTCCTTAACCACTTCTCTTCTTGAGCTGTATAAATTGGAGTCCATTGAGACAGTGGAGTTGGTATAAGAGCAGCTATATGCCCCACATATTCCTGTCTTCCTGATTCAGCAGCACGCTTAGCTGCACTATCTGCCATCCGATTCCCTTTGGTTACATCACCATCTCCACTCAGATGCGCCCGACAATGTATAATACCGACTTCTTTCGGCTCCCACACTGCTTCCAATAGTTGTAGGATCTCAGCTGCGTATTTGATTTCTTTGCCTTCTGAATTCATTAGTCCTCTTTCTTTATACAAAGCTCCGTGGGCATGAGTGGTTAAAAACGCATACTTGGAGTCCGTGTAGATGTTCACTCTTAAACCTTCAGCCAATTGTAACGCTCGTGTCAGTGCTATCAATTCTGCCTTTTGTGTTGATGTTCCTTTTGCCAGTGGCCGAGCTTCTATCACCTTGTCTATCGTTGTTACTGCATATCCTGCATAGCGGATCCCTTCTTTTACATAACTACTGCCGTCGGTGTAATATTGAACATCAGGGTTCTGGATGGTAAAATCACGAAGATCTGGTCTACTTGAAAATACTTCATCCATTACTTCCAAACAATCATGTTGACTTTCAGTAGGTTGTGGCAAAAGGGTAGCTGGATTTAAGGTATTTACAGTCTCTAAATGCACTCTTGGGTTTTCACACAACATTGCTTGATACTTGGTCATGCGGCTGTTACTAAACCAATGATTTCCTTTG